ATACAAAAATTATATAAGATATTTGAAACATTAACGTCAATGACTCTAATATTTCCAGGCAAAGATTCGCCAAGCTCAAAGCTGTTATATGCTAAAGATATACCGGAGTATCGCAAATGGGTTGATCGATATTACAGAGATATTCGGGATATGTCTTCAATATCTGATCAGGATATGAATGCAATGCTCGCTGAGGAATCTAGGGTAAGAGAATTATAAAAACCACCATGAATGTTAAAATAATGCAAAGCTTTAAAAACTTGTGTTTTATAAAAGCTAGAGCCTGTCCGGCTGTTAATTTATTTTGGAAGATTCGAAAGCAATTACTCTCTTCACATATATTTCAGTTTTAGTGAATGGAACCGATTAGAAATGGTAATTGAGGTACAAGATAGAATGTTACAAGCAGATTAGGGCTGTCGAATTTTGTTTTTTAAATATCGTATCAATATTTTTAGTATTGAAAAAATTTCAAAATTATATTTGATCTGTAACTTAAAAAAAATCGATATATCGATTTTCCCACAATAAATTTATAATCCGCCCCAAAAAACAAGAACAATTAAAATTTATTTTTTTAATAATGGTAAAACCGCTTAACTCCAGTATTCGGTACTCAAAGATGAAAAAAAAGCTCATTTTTCCGCGCAGGGTACAGCACGTCATTGTTATTTTTCATATGCGTCGCCATATTTGATGTGTTACCACTTGTTTTTATTAATTTAAGGCACAAATTATAGTTGGCTGTCCTATTTTATAGTTCGAATGATTCGTTAAATATAATTTTTACACAAAAAACATCTATATATTGATATTTCGATATATTTATGACAATCCTAAAGCAGATGAAGGCGAAGCGGATTCCATAAAATATAATTATATAAATTAAGACTACGAACGGTATTGCTCTGGCTGAGCTTTGTAATTTTAAATGATAAGTTCTATATACCAAGAGCGAAAGTTATTCATCTAAGCTTATAAGTGTGTGATATCCCTTTTCTAATTATTTCCATTTTCTGATTTCCCATTCTCAATTTTCAATGAGGTCAGGGTATATACATATGTATTGTTTAATGTAGGGTGTAATGGTTTTGTCGTTTGTATTTAACTACGAATTGAGTCGATGTATTCTAATCTAAAATTTGTTTGTAGGCCGAAGAATCGATACTATTGCCGTTTTAAAGTTAAAGATTAAAAATCTTACTGATAATCAGTTATAATGCTAAAACTGTTTAATGAATACAAACTTGATTTTACTTTTTTGTAGCTCCACACGACTGAATTTAACACGAATTGTGCTTTGCATGAGCTCTACACGTACGCTGTTAAGTATAATGAACAACTGACAGTAACACTAGAGGAGGATGAATTTTCCCAAAAACAAAGACTGGCATTCAAACTGGAGCAAGTTCATAATATAATGTCAGCTGAATAAGCATCTCAGCAGAAATAGGAAACCCAAGATTTTAATCATCATTAACAGTATATAAATTATGCGAATTATGCGTATGAAGACGAAAATTCATTATAACACTTTAACACCATATATATATTCGCACCATAAAACATACCACCTATGAAAAAAAAA